AAGTGCCCAAGTATGGGGCATACAAAGGAATTGCCATTTTGAACCGACATCAAAAGAAGGAGGAGGTTATCAATTCGCCGGAATATATATATATATATTTTTTTTGTGTGTTACTGCATAACTTTGGACCACATTAACCAAATTCTTAAATTATTTTCTTAAAAGAAAGGTAGCTCAGATATGGGTCCATACTAATTTCACTTAGATCCGATCATTGGATCATGCAAAAGTTAACGGTACTCTTAAATTTTTATATTAAAATTGAAGTCGGTTTTGTTTTTTTTGGTAAAAATTACTTGTGCATAATACGTGCCATTTTTGTGTTTTTAAGTAATAAATAGAAGAATATTAAATTAATAAAAATAAAAATAAATTAAATGAAAACAAAGTAAAAATCAATAAAAATATTTTTTAAATATTAAATGATATTAAAAAAATATTTTTCTTTTTAAAACAATAAAATCTAAAAATTAAAAGAAAATTTAAATAGAAAAAGGAAAAAAATGTTACCAAAAAAGAGGAAATTAGTACTTAAGAACTTAGTTAAATTAAAAAAAAAAATATTTTTATAAAAAATCTAAATATTAAAAAAAAATTAAAAAGACATAATGGTGTTATAAAAATTCAATCAAAATCCTAAAAACTAAATCAAATAAAAAGGAAAATTTTTTTTTTTTAAATAAAAAAGAAAATTAAATTGAAAAAATAAAAACAATTTAATAAAAAAAAAATAATATAAATACGTATCTAAAAATTTGAGGAAATTTAAAATATTTTTCTTTTTTACACAGAATGTATATCTTAAAGAAAATGAAATAAAATAAGTTTCTGAAAATTACATATCTATCTAGTAACTAAAAGAAAATTAAAACAAGTAATTTTTTGCAAAAAAAGAACCGACTTCAACTCCCATATAAAAAAAAAAAATATATAACTATATATATGTGGGGATTACGATACTAAGAAAAACACGTGTGGTTCGGTTGAGCGCAAGAATAGAAGAGAGTGTAAAACTTTATTTTCTGTTCTACTAACGTGAAAGGAATGACAGTGTAAAGAAGAATGTAAGTTAGAGCAAGGTTGCATTTTGGTCGTACGTATCGGCTTTTGTGGTGTTGCCACAGTACTCCCCTCCTAGTCCNTTCTGAGATACTACCTTTCCGATGCAGAATTATCGAAATCGGTTGACGTCTTCCTAAGTTATACGGTAACATACATAAAAAAAAAAATAAAAAATCCGACGAACTGATAACCTCCTCCTTTTATGGAAGTCGGTCAAAAAGGATCCGCTGCCCATGGTTTTGAACCCAGTCATGTCAAAGGGTACACCTGTGCTTTCCTGACTTGACCATTGCGACTTTCGAAGCGACGCGAGCTAAATGATCTACAAGCGCTTTATCTCAAATAGCTTTTCACCACGAGTGGTGAATCAGTGAGCTTTTTTCTCAGATTTTTGTACCAGAACAACAAACGTCTTTCAAACTATCTTGCCATTTCTCTTGTATTTGTCTTAAGAAAAACATTTTACTATCTTAGAACTTTTACTATCCAGAACTGCCGTGTAAGTCTTAAAAAAGTAAGTTATATTGAATTCAACAGTCACTTATTTGGAAGTAGTAATTATGTCGATTANAGA